CCATCCATCCATCCATCCATCCATCCATCCATCCATCCATCCATCCACGGTAGGGTAGTTCAGTCATGAAACTCCCCTTTCTCAGGTCTCACTCCTCTCGAGCTCCTCTTATTTTTTCGTGGCACACGCATCGAATCCGTGGGTCCACACAGGAGAAGCACAGGAGTCGATGCGTCATGGTCCGCTCCAGTGGACCCAGGATTGCGTGGCCAAAGGGCCATTTGTGAACCAGATCTTGCCAGATGCCTCCGGCACCGTGGGTCAAGAGATCCAGCAGCAGATCCCAGAGGACGGACGACGCGGGGGGGGGTCGCCCCCTTCGGTTCCGAAGTGGACGACGCTGAGTTTCGGAAGGGGGCCGTCGACTGGACTCCTCGGCGAGCCCAGTGGAAGACGGAATGTCCTGAAAGCTCAACCGTCGGTGAAACATACCTAGCGCTGCCGGAGTGGGGTGCCCTGGAGTAGGAGACCTGTTTATGTAGCTGTGGAGATATCCAGCCAGGTGACCCCGAACGGAAGCAGCTGGTAGCGTCGATTCCTGGAATTTGTAGGGTATAGCCAGAGACACTCGTTCGGTGGACTGGCTTATTGAGATACCTTGGCTTATTGATTTGGTGTTCGGTTCGTGCGATCATGGGACCGGACGTCCGACTCGTTCTCTCTTCAGCTCCAGGAGACCATCCAGGATCCCGACGGGAAACCGGTGGCCTACGCCGTCTCGTTGATGGATGGCGTGGAAACTCAGGAGTGGCGCGCTGAAGCGCCGCGGCATCTTCTCACTGTCACCGGTGCGAGGAAAGTAAGGAAAGTAAGGGTGGCACAATGCCTGCTCGAGGTATTGACAGGGGGTGGAACCTTCCAAGGCCTAAGCACAACAGAAGCCTTTGTTGGTGGGACATACTAGCAGCCACAACGACCAAAACAATTGGCACGAACTCCATATGGACACCCAATACAGGACGTTCGAAGTCCGGCCATTGGCACGCTGCCCCATCGCTGTCCGGGCTGCGCTGCGTACGCGCTGCGTACGGTGAACACCCAGGTGGACAGCTCCCGGAGTGGCTCCACTTCGACCCGGAGACCGAGACCTTGTCGGGGACGCCGAGCGCAGCGCAGGAGCTCCACCTGCTGGTGGAAGGCGCGTCGTGTCGAAGGCGTTGGAGGGGTGTTCTCAGCAGTCAGGGGAGGATGCGGATTGGAGGAAGGGATGGGAGAGGGTTTGATGATGTTTGACGTTTCTGTCCTTCCTTTTAAATAAAGGAACCCGTTCTTTGTGCCGATCGAGGTAGCAAACTCACTCTTCTTCTGAAGCTGGACTGGAGACAGGACTCGCACACACGCTTGCTCACCAGTTCGGCAGATCCGTAGACTTTGAAGCCTAGACTTAGACCCTTCCTGAAAGAGGTGGATCCCCTCAAAATCTACTATATTGGTGGTCCAACGGTCCAACTTCTCATCAGTTCGTTCCTGAAAAAGGTGGACCCAAACTTCAAGAACCTTCAAACATGGGGAATGCCCCTTCACCCCGGTCCAGCTGTGAGTTTGGTCCAGCTGTGAGAGTTGGAGGGTCAAACGGTCGTGGAAGTTTTGTGGAATCAACGGATCTGGGGATTGAAGAAACCAGTACCTGGACCCTCCAACAGGTCTCCAACCAGTACCTGGACCCGACTTCACAGGTCTCCGAGTTTTGGAGGCTTTGGTAGACTGACAGGGCGTCGCAGGTGACCTGTTGGCCGAGTCGGGTCCTGGTGGTTGGGACTCGATCGGAAGGGTCGTCGACTGGCCTCGGTGACCCGGTGGTGGCCTGGACGTCACAGAGTCGAACCCTGGAATTGGTCGGGTTTTTTGGAGCCAAAAAGGGTGGTTTTGGAGCCCCAAAGTCCTTGAAGCGGGCTCTCTCTCTTTTTTTTTCAAGTTTCTTTCAGCATTTGGATCCAATTTTCGCTTCAGTGGCAATCCCAAACGCGCATGGTCCTGCCCCGGCTCGCGCATTGGCCCGAGCCGTGGTGTTTGACCCGTGGTCTTCGGCCTGGACACCTTTTACCCTCAACGTCCGTCTGGTCGCTGGACCGGTGGGTTCTTCGTCACGGCCGAGTTCGGTGAGGTAAGGATGAGCAAGGGTTGACGGCCCAGACGAGCTGGAAACTGAAGGTGGGTCTCTTGGCCCGAAAGGAGATGACATGAGAACCGACCGTGAGCCGGAAGCCGGAGGTTTCAGAATCCCGGGCTTCTTGGCCTGTATGGCCTTGACCTGTTCACATTGGGTTTTGGGTTTGGCTTCAGGTCCGGATCCCTGCTATAAGGTGGAGAAGGTCCGACCCGGCCCAAGAATTCTTAGTTAGGGCACTACAACAACATCACGTGGGAAGCAACACAAGCCCAGTTTTGATCGAGGCAACACATGCGGAGACGCAGATCTGAAAAGCCCAAGGTTTGCTGAGTCTTTTGATGGTTTCCCTTTGGTGGACCCTCTTCATTTCTTCTTTTTCGACCAACTCCAGGTCACACGCCGACGGAAGCGCTAAGCGCTCCACCGGAGCATGCGGTTCTTTTTTACGGACCTTCCGTCGCCTTCCCTCGCCCCTTCTTCCGGCAGCGGAACCATGGGGATTGGGTTTGGAATCGGTCCGGTGCGAAAACTTCCCTGTTTTTTGTTCGGAGACTCAGCAAGTTTGCTTCCGTTTTTCCTTCGGTTCGCCGTTTGCGAAGAAGTTGCGGTACGGCAGGGTGTTCAGGGTGTTTAGCGTTTGCGCATCTTGAGGAGCATTCGGACTGCAACAGCGGAACCCATCACTCCAACTGCTTGAGTCATTGGACTTGTGCTGAGGGTGGGACGGTTCTCCAAGTCGCCGCTGGGGCGAGTTCGGGAGACCAAGGACCAAGTGGCCCGGCCCCGAAAGCGAAAGCGCAGCCTTTGGTGGCTCAGCACCTGCCCCTTTGGGAAGGCACGCTGAGCTCGCGAGCCAAAGCGCCGGAAGCGAAGCGAAGTGAGCCAACCGTTGGGCCGTTGGTTTGTGGCAGAGGTTCAGGTTCCAACCCGCTTCAGATGACATGACTTCGCCGAGAGCGGCAGGCAGTGCACGTTGGTCAAGAGAGGGGAGCTATGGGACGTTCGGATCCCGCCCAGACGCGACCCTGGAGCCGAATCCTCTGGAGGGGTTTGGGGTCTCAAATCCTCTGGAGGGGTTTGGGGTCTCAAATCCCTAGGTTTTGAGGGACCAAGGACTGTTTGGAGCGTCTGGGAGGTTGACTGCTGACGTCCGCGTAACCCACCACTTCTGCGGTGCGTGAAGGATCTAGCTCTGCCATGCGAGGCATCCGGCGCCGAGCGTCCGCGTTGAACACGCGCGCCAGTGGAAGATCGAAGAGTCCGAAGAGTCTTCTCGCCAGTTTTCCCAGACTAGGACCTTCCAAGAATTCGAGAAACCTAGCCTTCCCAGGACCAGATCCAAAACCTCACATGGATGGAACTGGGTTTCCATACCAGGACCTTCCAAGAAGAAACGGTGGGTACTTAGAAGCCTTTCGCTCAGTCAGGGTGGGCTTCACCGACCGGTCGACGAACGGAAACACCGGTGGCGCACCTGTTTTGTCGGGTCCAGGCAGCCAAGGGACCCATCACTCCAACTGCAAGTCAAGTCGACGGTAAAAAAAAAGGGGAACGATTTGGTGACTCAAACCGTGGTAAAACCCTTAGAACGACTATATTTTGACGGACCACTGAATCAGTAAAGCATATTCCTTTTCGGGTCGCCTAAAGACCATTCTTTTGATAGTCTTTGACTCCCAGGGCTTAGTGAAACAGCTCGGTGTTGCTTTCATGACGCTATTAAAACCATGGTGGGCCAGCGCCGACTCTGGCCGAAAACCGGGGTGTTCGGTGTGAAAGGGTGTCTCGCGGCTGCGCGAGGCACCGTGGGCGAGAAGATGGTGCGCCAGGTCCCTGAGGCGGTCGAACCGTGTGGACACGCGGATGGGGATTCTTCAGGGTTAGATCGAGGGTGTGATGGATTCTTAGGGAAGTTCTATGAGTTTGATCGAGGGTGCTGGGGTGTGCGGCCAATCCGCTGCTATTTACAGCACATTCATGTGAATGCATTTGTGCAGGGTCTGTCGGAGTGTGGTAGGCCTAGCAATTTGTAAATCTGGAGGTACAGTTTTCGTGGCGCGTGCAGCGCTTGGTAAAATTGGATTTGAGGCGTACATGTCGTGGCAGGGGCAGCACTTTGTAAACCTTCAAGTGTGCATTTCGTTGCAGGTGGAAGATTTGTGTTCTTGTGTGTTGGTTCACCTGTGTGTGCTGCACTGCTCTCGTGTGTCTGCTGCACTGCTCTCGGGTGTTCGTATGTCGTGCAGCTTTACGTGCTTGCGTGTGCTCTCATATGCATGTGTGTTGTGTTCTTTATCATGCGGGCATGCCTCTTATAGTGCGTTGCCGACGGTGTGCCTGTTTGCTTGTTTTGGGACTGTTTGCGCATCTGATGTCTACGTCTCATTTTGGTGATATTTTGGTTTGTCTTGATGTGTGTGTGTGTGTGTCTTCATGTGCTCATGTTACCCCATGTGTATGTGTGCTTTCACATGTACGTATGCGCGGTCCTTGTTGTGCACATCGCGTAGATTAAAATACTGTATGTGATTTATTTTACGTACTTTCATTTGCGCATTTTGACACGCTGGTGATTTCATGCATGGGCTCTCACTTGTATGTATGTTTTATTATCTGTGATCTTCGTTGTTTGTTGATCAATGTGTGTTTCTCATAGTGTCTCACACGTGTATTCATATGGCTGTGCGAGGTTCTGTTTTGAGGTACCTTTGCATGAAACCATTGAAACCATCCAGAGTGAAGGGTCTTCCCTTTCCCGGTACAACACCCTTTATTAACCGTACTAACAATGTTGTTCTGTAATGTGCACTCTCATGGTGTGTTCTCACATCTGTACTCTTTCAAAGCTGTGCTCTCACATGCACGCTTGTCTATCTCTACTCCCAAATTGGTTCTCTCTCAAAGCTGTGCTTTCAATGTGTGCCGTCACGTCTTTGCTCACACACACACACATATATATATATATATACCAGCACCTTCCAACAGGTCTCCTCTGGAGGCTTTTGTAGACTTAAAAGTCGCAGGTGGTGACCTGTTGGAAGGTCCTGGTATATATAATATACTGTAGGTGTTTTTTCATATGTCGTGCTCTCATGTCGGTGCTTTAGAACGTGGAAACTCGCTTATTGACCCTGTTTGGGATCTCTTGCCGGGAAGCGTTCGGAACCCGTGCGTGCGGAATGGAGGAACTGGTGCCCACTGGTGAAAAGCAGAGTTTGGGAGGGTCTTGAAATACCCTAGGGCTCCAACTACCTCCTGAGAAGATGGTTGGGGTGGGTTTTGGGGGTCTAACCACCTTCTGAGGAGATGGTTGGAGCCCTAGGGATACTTCCAAAGAACTGAAAGATGCCGGTGGAGAAGAATCAGTTGAACTGAGTCTTTGTTGGCTTTCAAGGGCGGAAAGAACTCGGGGGAGAGGATCTAAACACACTTGGTGCTATATCAGGATCTTCTGTTTTCACAACCCCCCCCAACATATCAGGTCTTCTTTTTTTCTTATTGCTTTAGACACCATTTATATCCTTTCACCTTATTGCCATAGCTCCCGTGCTCTTGGACAACGGCGAAACTGGGCCCGGTGCGGCCATGTCGTCCGAGCGTCAGGGCGTGGTGAGCGATCCTTTGGGAAGTCAGTTGCACTTCAGTGCCCATGGTGAACATGGCACGTTGCCCCACTGGCCCCCTGGGCTTACAAGGGCCCAGGGTGCATGGTGTTGCGCATGGGGTGGGGCTGGGGGGGGTGGCAGGGTGGGGTGCGTGGGGCGGCAGCGTGTGTGGCTGAGCCTGGACGTCCAATTTGGGTGGATTTACGCGGGAAAAGACATTGCCCGTTTACCTGGAGTCCAGTCGACTTTGAAAAGAATGGTCTGACTAGGTGACCCGAGTGCAGGAATGTCCTTTGCTTCAGTCAGTCAAAATAGAGTCGAACTGGACTTCTGGGGTGCTATTTTCCAAAATGGTCTGGATCTGAACGAGTATAGACCTGATTTTTGGGAGCGTCCGAAAAACTCTCCTTCTCTCAAGGCAAAAGAACCAAGTCTTTCCTCGACTTCTTTGTGCACCACATGCACGGTTAGGTCCACCTGGGAACTGCAATTGAGATACTTTACATAGGAAATGACCGGGACTGGGGAAACCCAGGCAGGGCTCCGAGCCGCGGTCGTTACTTCACGATCGATCCAAAGACCACCTCGGCCTCCAGTGAGGATGAGCTTCGATCCAAAGAGCATGACCTTTTCCGGCGTGCCGGTGGCTCGGCATGTCCCAGGTCCACCCCACCCCACCCTTCAGGCCGACCGAAACCGCTTCGGGAAGGGATGGGTGGACCAACAGGACCAAAAAGGACCAATGAAAAGTAGGGTTCAGAGGAAGTACTTCAGACAACCGTTCGGCTGCATGGGAGTTCTTCTCGCTAGACAACCATTTCGGAGTAGATCACCATCACCCGAATGCGCTTGACCTGCAAAGACTCATCTATGGATCCGCCAAGGCTTCTATGGTCCGAGTGATTGAAGAAGGGACTCAGGAACAGGGAGTCCAGTCGACTATAAAAAGAATATCTTTAGGTGACCCGAGTTCAGGAATTTCCTTTACTTCAGTCAGTCGGTAAATATATATATATAGTCTTTGGACTACTAGGGTGTTCTTCCGGATGAACAGATTCGAGTCCAGTCGACGGTTTAAAAACGCAAAATAACATGGTTTGACTATAGGTGACGAGTAGTCTAGGAACTTCCTGAAACCTTCAGTGAGCAAAAACAGGGTCGAACTGGACTCCTGGTTCTGGGGCACCGTTTTATTGGACCATTTTCTCTGTTTATGCCGATGACTTGACCGGTGGTCAGGGGGAGGTTGTCAGGCAACCTTTTAGGCATCCTAGGACGAAAGCCCGGGGTAACCTGTTTTCCGCCGGAAATAGGTGGCCAAAATCGAAAGTGAAGGTGAAAGAGATGAACAGCAATGGGCAATGGTGGCAATCTGCATTGCTTTCGGACCCATTCATATCAATTCGACCTCTTTTTTCAGCCCAGAATCTCTGGCAGATTGGCATCAAGATGCATCAAGAGCCCAGATGGCATCGCCCTAGCTTTCGACCGCGGAACATTCCGGACAGTCTGCCGCACAACAAATCAGTGGAGATACATATGTGGGTGGAAGTGGCCAGATTCTCCTAGATGATAAAACCACAGAATTGGAAGTGGCGGACGGTAACTCTGACACAGGTGCAGGAGGTCGACCGGGATATTGGTTCGATGAATCGATCACCTTGAAGAATCCATTTTCACCTCGAACTGGCTTCCGACCCACCCTAAACTGACGGGTTTGAATCCCGAAGAACATCGAGCTGTTTCACTCAGGATGTTACACCACTACGAACAAGAAGAAGCTCCGTTGCCGTCCCCAAAGACACCGGAAGCCGCCGGTCACGGACCAAAAACGTGGAGCCGTTCGGACTGCCGCCCCAGACAGACCCCCTTTCAGCCACCTCTGGCCGTTTTGAAGGCAGTCCTATACCCTAGACCTCCAGGAGGATACCGAAACTCAGGTTCGGTATGACTGGACCCTGGCACCCGGGCCCCAGTCGTCCCACCGAACCGAAACGGTTCGGTATCCTCCTGGAGGTGAAGGGATATGGCAATCCCTCGCACTCGGTCGGTTCCCTCGCGCTGTCGGTTCGCCCGAGGACAAGGCGCTCAGCATGACCGTCTATGTGAAGGGCGCCACGAAGGACGGTGAGACGGGGCGGGTGGAACGGGGGGGAGACGCAGCTCGCTGGTGGTGAAGAACGGGCTGAAGAGCTCCCAGGTTTACTTTTCTTTCGGGAGTCCAACGAGGATTCTCCTGGAATTAGTTCCTTTGGCCGGTGCCTTCTTTTTCAACCATGATGACCGTTTTTTTTGTGTGGCTTTGGTCGGTTGGTTGGGTGGAGACCCATCAACAGAAACGAGTTGGGAGACCGGCTTCCGGCCGGGCTCAGCCGGTGTAGACCGAGAGCGCCGAGCTGTTGAGCTGTTGGCCTGATTTCATCGCGAAAGAGTTCGGTTGAGCTGGTTCGTTGAGTGAATCCTCGATGAACACTGAGGATTGTTCGGGATTCCGGCGATGGAAGGGTGAGCCAGCGGAATACACTTGAGGGTGATTTCTTCGGGGGTTCTAGTTATACTAGTTCACTTGCTCACGAGTGAGGGAGAAAGCCAGAATGCAGTCGGTGAGCCTGGTTCTTCTCACATCCATCTCTCTCTCTCTCTTTGTGATGCCTCTCCAGTTTTCGGCCAGACACTAGATGTTTCTCTGACAGGGATCTCTCTGGTTGTCATGACGTTTCGGACGTTGAAACGATATCCTCAACTGGCCTGAGAAGGACCAAAACCCGTGGGTCGTCCAGTCGACTTTGACAAGTTCGGGGACGAGTTAGGGACAGACGAGTGAAGGGACAATCCTGCGAATGAAGAGTGTCGCCTCTGGACTAGCTAGCTTCTAGCTGAGAGTAGATAGTAATAGAAGAACGCACCCAAGCCAGTGTGGATGTTCTGTCCTTCTATTCTTCCTTTTGCCAGCAAGCAAGTCTTCGGCTCAGCTTTTTTGGGGGTCCCAGAATGGACAGACAGAGGCAGGCGAGGCCGCAGGCGAGGCTTGGGTGATCGAGGTCTTGGGCCCCAAAAGCTCCAAGGATCTTTCTACCGCCCAGACCCTCCGTGAAACCAGCCTGACTGGTCCCTCAAAACTGCAGGGAATGGTTCGACCCCAGACCCCTCCAGAGGATTCGGGCCCAGCCTTCGCGTCGCGGAAAACAAGGTCCGCCCTCCGCGCCGGGCACGGGGATATTGGCCCCCCCAACCCGCCAGGAGGGCCTCTCAGCGCGCTCGCGGATGAAGGTGGTGGTGGGTCGCTCGGCGGAGATTGCTTTAGGCCATCCGGGCTCCAGGAGGTTAGCTCCTCAGGTTCGCTATGACTGGACCCGACTGGCTGGCATTGTTCACACCCCAGGTCCCACTCGAAACGAAAGGGGTTGCTACGACTGAAACCCGACTGGCCGGGCAGGGTACGCAACTCTGGAGCACCATGGACGACCGAAAAAAAATTAAAAAAAAAGACCATGAAAGATCATGAAAACCGCCGAGGCCGGACGACTTGGGAGGTTTCAAGACTTGACTTCCGTTTTCGAAGCAGACACCCGAAGTGTTTTTGGACTCCCGAAGTGTGTTTGGCCGTGATGTGATGATGTTAATTATAGGGGTGTCCAGTGTCCATTAGAACATAGCGCCTTTTCGACACACATCCACCCCCCCAAAAAAGACCGGCCAAGTCCTGGTGGAGCGGACTTTAACAGCTGGAACCCCCAGTCCCAACCCAGAAAGGAATGGATGTTTCTCCCAGCCATTTCCCATGTAAAGGATTTCAAGCTGGCGCCGGAACTGGCCCAGAATGGTTTTCTGGGACTGGGGGGTTGGGTTCCAGGCAGGTCCTTTTCAAGGCTCCGGAGCTCTCATGGGTTCCTTTTTGGCCGCCCAAGACTTCCGTGACTGGACGACCAGTAAATTTGAGTCATTTTCCACTCTCAGGGTAGTCTCGAGTTCGTCTCTACCTCAGTTCTTCGCATGTTAGCTCCCATTCTTCGTTCACGAAACAAGACCGTGGAACCGCGGGTGCCACAGCTAAGACCGCTTCACACGGCTCGACTGCTCGACCTCAACTCGACTTATCCGGGTTTCTGGTCCAACAGGTAACTCACGAAAACACCCAGCACCGCCCGGTTTCACGGGTGGTATTTATTTGGCTTTTTCCAACGACCTGTCTACAAACCAAGAATGGTGCTGGACATGCACCTTCCGGCGTGTTACCATGTGTTTGGACTCCAATCATGAAGTCGAGACGAGGGGGAGGCATCGTCCGGGTCCGGCGGGGGATGTGAGACCTTCTCACATCCTTCCTTCGTTATCCCCGGCCAGGAGTCGCATTGGAGTATTTAGCCCCCTAGGCCCTTACGTGATGTGGAGGTGGTTTTCATGGGCACCCCTACCCCAAACCTTGGATTAAGCACCCCTCACCTTACGTGACTGCTGAGGTACTTCTCCTTTGTCCACCCAGCTTGGTGTGTGGATCCGAATCCTCGGCGCTCCCCACCCCCCAAAAGAGTGACGGGCCGTGGCCGTTTGGCGGGGTTCACCGGGCTCCAGGGGAAAACGCGCCATGAACTTGGCTTCCTCGAAAGCATGAAGTTGGTCACACCACAGCACAGGTGGTGGGTTTTTTTGCGATGGTTGGGGTCAAAAATGAACCCCCCCCCGATGGATCCGGATCTCAGAAGAGATCCCCGCTTCCGATCTGAAAGCGGTGACCTCCTCTCTCTTCCAGATGCGGTCAGCGGCTCAGCTTGGTGCTTGCGAGCTTGTTTTCAGCGGTCAGGAACTCCCTCCGTGAATAAACTGGCGAAGGAGATGACTGCAGTGGCGTGTCTTGGCCACGGTGAACCGAGCGGAACAGGCACGGGAAGACACGGGGGTGGATGTCCGACCCTTTTGCAAGGCAAATGGAAGCGCAACAGGTGGTAAAACGCGGAAGACTCAAGAGTTTCCCTGTACAACCAACCTGGTCTGAAACACACCCATTTTCCAACATCTGATTTCGACCAGCTCATCTGGCTCTCGCTTAACCTTAAATCGAGGGAGAGCCGAGGATTTGGGCGGATTCGCCAGAGAGCCTCTCAGTTGGATGAGCCTTCCTCTCTAGTGGTAGGTCTGGAGTACATTGAAGAAGGTCCAGTTCTTTGAAGTAGACCTCCTCCTACTTTCAGAAACAGTGAGCCAAGGGCTTCATGCGACTGAAGCGGTGAACCTTCCTCCGCGCTAACCGTGTCGGTCGCGACACCGCGACGCCGCGACACCGCGACCTCCTTGGGCATCGTGTGGCGAATGCCCCGAACGGTGTGATGCGACGGTTTTTGGAGATGCGACCGATCAGTCACAAGAAGAACTGACGGTGCCACTTGGAGGGGACGTCAACTCTAAACCCCCGGCCCCCTAGGGCTCCTGGCCCATATTCTCAGGTTCGGTGGTTAGGCCCCCTGGCACCCACCTCAACCAGCGTACCTCAGGAGGCAGGCCAGGAGCCCTAGGGTGACACATCTTGACAGGTCGTTCCCATGCTTTGAAGGGTCGAATGGAAGGCCAGGAGATTGAGTCTCAATCTCCTGAGTGGATGTTTTCATAGACACCATGTAGCAAGACGCATCGATGAGTCTGGCAGCATTAGGCTTATCGATTTGAAGAACTGTCGTGTTCTGGACATCCCCAAACACGGAAATCCCAAACCCTGGATCTTCCCGGTGGACCGGTCACTTGATCCCCCTAGTAGGCTTGGGCTTGTTCGGTCACAGGATGGGACTCCAAGGCTCGGTCACAAACGGGTTCGGTCCTTGTTCCAGCAGTCACTGGATGGGGTGCGATCCATGGAGGGAAACGGGGTGCCCAGCTACTCCACTCACTTGGGGACCACATACCACCCCTTTGTGACTCCTGGTTGGTGAGTGTTCACAGGAGATTCCAGGAAGGCCACAGGAGATTCCACATGGATCCACGCCGGGTTTTTCAGAGACAGGATCCTGCGACGGCGCCGACGGCGCCTGCATGTTTGGAGGTCGAACCCAAACACGGCATGCACGGAATCATGTACCGGGTCAATGCAGGGTATGTTTGATGGGTCAATGTAAGCATATATCTCATACATGCATGGATATAGCAGGGCCCCCGCGTTCGCAAGGGGTGTCCATTCATGGCCCCTGGCCCACCATCGATCAAAAAAGACACCTGCCCGAAGAACCATGGTCTTACTACCCCTGGAAGCCCAGTTGACGATGTTTTAAATGGTCTGACTACCAGGACCCTCCAAGAAGTTTTCCAATGAACTACCCCACACTACCTATAGGCTTCCAGACAGAGCACCCCGACAGGAGGGTCCTGGTAGGTGATCCGAGTCTAGGGCTTTACTTTGGTGGTCAGGGCTAAGCATCCGAACGGGACCTCCGGGCTCGAGGGGTCAGACCTTCGAGAAACCTGCAGGGGTCGGTCGGGGGTCCAGGACTCGATCCGAGCCAGTTCCAGTCCCGGTCCCGAGCGGATAGAAGTGTGTAGATTCCCATGCCACTATCTACCTGGGGGCTGTAAAACCAGGGCAACCGGAAGCCGGTCTCAGGGCCGGAGTTTCGGGGGGCCTACCCGAATTTTGTCCAGCGGAGAAGCTTTTTTTTGATGTTTTTTGGGGCATAGGGGACAGTTAGGAAATTTCCGAATTCCATCAGATTTGATCCATTTGTGTTTTTTCCCCAAACAGTGTGGACACACTTAGGGGTTCTTACGGTAGGTGAAAAGCAGCTGATGCTTAGATCGCTGAAGCGCGCGGGCGTGGACGGCTAATTCGTTGCTATTTACAGTACATTCATGCCTCTCGAAATCCTCGAAGTGCATTTCGACTGCGCAAGCTCGCTGAATCTGGGTGTCTGCGGCGGGTGCTTCTAACGACTGTGCTCTCGTTGTGGTGCCGTGCGCATTTTCGCACATGGTGGTGACTTTTCTTGGCAGGCGCAGGGGAAACCTCATGCTTTGGTGCTTCAAAGTTGACCTTTCGTGACAGGTGCATGGGATCGGAGCTGTTTTACTTCGAAATGCAGTTTTCGTGGCAGGTGCGTCGAGGAGCTCAGATTTTGTGACACGTGCAGTGAACCGTGACTTTTGGACATGTGGCTCGTTTGCTGATTTCGTGGCAGGCACAGCACTCTGTGACCCTCGACGTGCAGATTTCGTGGCAGGTGCAGCACTTTGTCAACTTCGAAGTGCAGACTTAGTGGCAGGCACAGCGCTTTGTGAACCTCCAAGTGCAGATTTCGTTGCAGGCGCAGCACTTAGTGAACCTTGAGGTGCAGATTTCGCGCCAGGCACAGCACTTTGTGCTGTAACCTTGACGTGCAGATTTCGTGGTAGGTACAGCAGCTTGTGAACCTCGACGCGCAGGTTTCGTGGCAGGTGCAGCACTTTGTGAACCTCGACGTGCAGATTTCGTGGCAGGTACAGCACTTTGTGAACCTTGAAGTGCAGATTTCGTGGCAGGTGCAGCACTTTGTGAACCTCAAAGTCACTCACTCTCCCACTCTCACACTCTCACTCACTCTCACTCTCACTCACACTCGCACTCACACTCACGCTCACTTACCCACTCTCACTCGCACTCACACTCATGCTCACTCACTCTCCCACTCTCACCCACCTTCACTCTCACTCACACTCACTCACACTCACACTCTCACACTCACACTCTCACTCTCACTCTCACTCTCACTCTCACTCTCACTCACACTCACACTCACACTCACACTCACACTCACACTCACCGCCACCGCCACCGTCACCAGGATCCCCACCTTCAGCACCACCATCATCTCTCTCGACCCCAATGCGTCTAGATCTCTAGACTTTCTGCTTATAGACCTCACACACACTGTTTGGGGTCTCTTGCCGGGATAAATTGGAGTGTTTGATACGTTTTTGGTTCACTGATGTACCAAACAGCAAGGGGGTGGTGCACGCGAGAGTTTCCATGCCATAAGGGAGGAGGACAAGTTGATTGTACCCACTCTACCTCCGCCGGAGCAGCTTGGATGAAGCGAAAGCTGCCTTTGGAGGTGGGGATTCACTTGGGTGGATGCATACGGAAAAAGGTTCGAAGCCCAGGCCCGAACTAATGGAGGCTTTGAAGGTCCGGCACTGCTCGAGCATGAAGGTTGAAAGACCCCTGCTATGGAGGGTCGTCTGCGTGAAAAAACTTCCCGATCGCAGAATTCCAGTGCATACTTGAGAGTTTGGTGGGATGTAAGTACTGCCTGGAACCCCAAACAACCAGAAACAAGCGGTTGTTCCAATATGGCAATTGAAATCCTTTACATTGGAAATGGTTGTGACTGGGAAAACATCAATTTCTTTCTGGTTGGGACTGGGGTTCCAGGTGGAAGGAACCCTCAAACACTTGAATGGATTTTTGCCTTTTTTCTACCCCAAGAAGTCCAGAGTCTTGGGGCCATTGAGGCGGCTGATGGGTAGTGGATGGAGCAGTCCCGTGGCCTTCTTTCTATCACGTTTCCCACCAATTTCTTCAACACAGGAACCGTTTCTTGCAAGAAGACAGACCTGAACCCTCCTAGCAAATTGAACACACAAGAACGATTAGATAGACGAGAGATGCGAAAAAAAGACCATCCCAAAGACGCGGCGGCGCCGCGACTTTGCGGCTGTAACGACCATCGCCGTGCGGCTGAAACGGGGGGGTTGGATGGTCGTGGGTTCTGGTTGAGTGCGGTTCTCTGGTTGAAAGCTGGAGTGGCGCCACATCCATCCATCCTCCGAGGTATTGCACTGAGATGGATGTGCCTTGGCACCTGCTCCGCGGACCGAGGTCCGACGCGATGGACCGAGGTCGGAGAAAGGGACGCTCCCGGTTTCGTGCGGGACGCGGGGGCGCGAGGGTTTTGGTCCACCGGTGGAGCCCGAGCGGTTTGGGGAGTCGGCAGGGAGCTTCACCGAAATGGGGTGAATGAACATGGTGAAGATCATGGTGGTCCTCAATCTGGACGGCACAAGGGTTGGACGATTCTGCATTCTGACATCGCCCTGAGGTCATGTACGAGCCCATCGATATGCTTCCTGGCGGAAGAAACGAATCTTACCCCACTTGGAGGTCAGAATCCACCACCATCCACCACTACCGTCCCTGGTTTTTGTCCGGGAATGACCATGAACAAACATGGGAACGACCTGGGTTTGGTAGTGCAAAATCCTTACAGTAAAACATAGTAAAACCATGGTGGTTTGGGAGCCCAACAAGCTTTTTGGGGTACAATGGATCCTTTGGTCCTTTTAGGCTCTCACATTGCTTGTGATGTGTTTTCGTTCTTTCCGAAGATGCGAGAACTTACAGACCAACCAGCGAGAACTCGGGTCCTCCGCCGCAGCTTCTGCGGCCCAGGAACATGTCCGACGCCGCCAATGGTGCGAAGACGGTGGTCGTGCCGTGGCGTTCGAAGCGTGGGCGGTGTGGCGGAGACCGAGCTCTCACCGGGCCGCGGCTGTCCACGTATGACGTTGATGCATCAATTGACCCCAGGTCTGGCCCACCCCAAGGTAGGCAAATAGGTCATACATGGAGTGTTTGGGTTATAAAAAGATGCGCTTGATCTCTTTCTCGCGGATCGTGGTACAAGCGGATCTTTCAGTCATACAGTCCTTCGGTCTACCCATTTGACACGTTCGCATAGCAGGCAAGGGCATCGTTCACAGCAAGTCAATTGACCGAAGCAACCGAAGTGACCACCCGAGGAACTAGACCTGTGGGAGGCTGGGATGTCCAGAAGTATTTTGGACTACCCATATCGAATCCGGACCCGAACCAACACATAGGGTTTGGGAACCGGGCCCGGACCCCTGCTATGGAGGGTCCGACCCCTGCCATGGAGAGCCCAAGGATTCTTAGGGGAGCACCATAAATCCATCCATTTGAGCCACGTTCGGCAGAGAGTTTGGCACCCTAGGGCTCCGATCGTCCCATTTCGTGAGGTTCGGTGGTTGGGGTGGGTGCCAGGGGGCTAAAAAACCACCGAACCTGAGGAGATGGGACGATCGGAGCCCTAGGGAGAGTTATAAGCACATGAGTTCCTGGAACCTACAGAGTCTCTCTCTCTGTCTCTCTGTGTACCTGAACCAAACCTTTTTGTGGTTCGGGCCCGGATTCTCAGGGTATATCCAACAACCATTGATTTAATGGTACCAGCACCGACTTCACAGGTCACCAATTGAAACCTGTTAGTGCCCTAACAAACCTCCAAAGGAGACCTGTTGGAAGGTGCTGGTATTTACCGAACTTCCGCACAAGTCCGAAAGTCACTAACCTAGCAGAGCGAGATACAGTAGAAGTGATCAAAAGTGACAACTAACTAAGGCCCGGTGTCAACGGACGAAATACGCCACCAACTGACCGACTGACGAGATTTCAACATCAAACTCTGTACTGTCTTCCGAAAGGCACCGGACGGGTCCAGCACACATGATGGGAAGGCAACAGACGGGATGATCCAAATCAAGAGAAAGACTATTGGCAACACCAGACCTCTCGGGCTAGGCATGAGCTCCTAAGAGGATGGCCTGGGATGTTGTGGTGGGCCGTCCGGCCTGAGGTTGAACACCCACTCAGGTCGTGCTCTCAACCCATTCAGGTTGGTCCTCCTCCAGGGTAGGCCAACAGAACCTTCATCTTGTCCCACGCCAAGTTGGCTGGCACCACCGGAGAGCGGATGAAAAAAAACAAAGTGAATGGGCAGTCCACAAGGTGTTCAACTGTTCCTTCAAAGGTGGCGGAGTCAAAACAATGGAAGGGTCCTCAGTAAAGGAAAAGTATTCATCCAGAACGCCAAACATATCACGCTTCTTGGTGCAACCATTGTGTTACTCAGGAACTTACACTACTACAACAGGTCAACCATGCTAATGAGGTCTTGGAAGGCTAGGCTTACTACAACAGGTCAACCATCCTGGGAGTCCAGTCGACGATTTTCTTCTGACGACCCGAGTCGACCCGAGTCAACCCGGAACGAAACGCTCGGGAAGAGTTCCTGATAGGACCTTCCAATCTGTGCAGAATTTCCCAGCCGAATCGATCGGGGCGAGTTCTTGTTGAGTTTCTGATGGATGAACAAGACACACATTTTCTGCCTTGTCGTTGGATGTTTCTGCTTTTGATCCGGAAAACAAACTCGGGATGATGTCTGGAGGTCGTTTTGTGTTGTATAGCTCCACCGATGGGCACAAGACAAGAGGTTACGTACCAGGACCCTCCAACAGGCTGTTTGGAGACCCTAACAGGTGGTGAACCTGGGCACCTGTTGTCACCAGGAAGCACCTGTTGGAGGGTGCTGGTAGTTGAGAGGTTCTTCTGGCACACGAAACACCCCTTCTGTTGGGTTTTCAGATCGAACCTGTAAAACCTCTAAAACGTACTGCCCAGACGCTCCGTTCACAGTCCGACTGGTCCCGAACCAAACCATTGGGATTGGTGGTCCGGACCCCTCCACAGGATTCGGGTCCGGCCCCTACTGAACGCAGGCTCCAGGGTCGCGTCTGGGTGTACAAGTTTTTGTCCTTTTGCAGTGTGAGGATGGAGGACCTGCTGTGAGCTGAGGCACTAGGAGTGCAACCTGTTGGGGGGTAGGATGGTTCTGTCTGATGGTTCGCTCTTTGAGAGATGGGTCTCCTTTGAAGTTGAAGTACCACTGATTTTCGACAACAGGTCGTGTTCTTCTTTTCTTTTTCCGGAACCTGCCTTGACGCGTCGTGGACAAAACACAACAAACCTTCGATGAGCCCTGAGCGGACTCAGGATTGTATGCTGCAATGCCGGAACATGAAGACGTGCGCTCACTTTACCTTTTTCTTCCCCTTGAAGCACCTCGTCCTTTCGCGAGCGTCCGACACTGTTTCAGCTCCACCGCTTGGAGTTTCGAGCGGCGGAACTGGGCACATCTCGGCCGTGCGACAGCGATGCGTGAAGCGACACGCATCCCGACCACGTCCCTCAGTGGTTCTTCAGTTGAAGGTCCTTGCGCTCGGTTTTCCCCTGCCATGCCCTCCAACGTCCCTACTTGGACGCTTTGCGTTCGGCCCGACCACCGGGCGCCACTGACTCGGACTGGTCGTCTTCTTCGGATCCTCTTCGTGTCGAAGATCGGGCGATGAGGCAAAAACACCAGGCCGATGGCGACGAACATCGAAGGACGCTGATTTCAGAAGATGCGTCATCCTGCCCAATCCATCAAACATCTAGGAGCTAGTGACCCATCTCTCAAAGCGCCGGATCCATGAGACCCATCGATGTCGCTCAAGATCTTGACCCAAACATCAAGGGAACCACCCAGACCCAAAAGCGCATCAAACCAGGCGGTGCTCCCCGAGAAGTGACCATGTGCGGACTTCCCAGTGCATAGCGTTTGGAAGCAGCCATGGAAACCGACCTTGACTTGAACAAAGATGAAGAATGTTCCTGAAAGAGGGAGACCAAGTGAAACGGACCTAGCACTTGCAATGGGTGCCCTGGAGTAGGAGACCTACAAGTAGGGTAGGGTAGTCTAGCCAGGACACCCATGTCCAGGATGATTCTGGCAGGAACAGCACCGCCTCAAGAGGCGACATCCACTCCCCATAGGCGAACAACCATGGTTTTTGGCACCTGGGTCGTAAACACCACAAACACCGGGTCGTTCCCCCATTGTTGTAACAATGGTCGAAGCTCCGAACGTCGAAAAGGACTTGGAAGACTAAAAGCCGCTTCAGCTAGAGCTGAAGCCGCGCCTCAGGTGCTTCAAACTGTTGAAGCCTTGAGGGTCTCTGGTCCCTGATGCACCAAGTCAGGTCCACCGGTTCGACTTAGCCTTTAAAACATGGGAACGCATCGCTGAGGCTCATCGTGTAACGCCGATAAGACAACAGGTGTTTCTGGATTCAGACCAGATTGGTGGGCCAGGAAGCCTAGGGTGGTGGAAGTGGTTCGTGAAACGTCGGTGTTTATTGGAACCATCGTCTTTTGAAGGGAGTCCTGCGGCAGGCCCGGTAGGGCCCTGCCATCCACTTCAAGCCCAAGGAAGAAGGAGGAACGTGGTATCATGTGCGATCCAAAATCAACGAAAGGGTCCTATGGAGTCTTCCCCCAGGCGCTGAAAGACCTCAGGCAACAGGAAGGGACCACCCACCTACAGGCACGGGGAATTTCCTCCCTCAGTCAGCCAGTCAGCCTGCAGGCAGTGCCACTTCAGCTCCTCTATGGCCACGCGGCAGACGGGACGCGGCTCGGCTTTGGTGGATGTTTTCTATGAACAGACCACGTGTTTTGCTCTGAAAAGACCACGGTTCCTGCCTGATGAACGCACTGCGGTGGGGGGGGGGGCGGTTCGATGAGCGGTTCGATGAGCGGTGTGAGACTCCCAAAGACGTAGGTCCTGACGTAGGTCACCTGGTTGCTCCAAGTGCCCAGTTTGGAGGGGAGCAGCTTGATGTGTTCCTTGGTTTCTGGACCTGGACCCGACTGAAAACAGGTGCGCCACCGGTGTTTTCCGTGCGTGTGGTGCCCAGAAACCACCACCTGACTGAGCTCGGCTTCTAAAGCCACCAGTTGGAAGGTGTTGGGAGTCTAAAAAAGGAATGGATGAAGTCGGCCACCCAGGCATTGGCTTTGTGGCCGGCGGGGCGTTGTGCGCGCCAAGCCAGGAACATCCAGAGGTGAAACCGGAAACCGCCGCGCGCGGGGCGGGGTGTCGGGGGGGCGGCGGTGCCAGGGCACTGCCTGAGTAGGTCTGGCAGCAAGTTTTGTGGGGAAACCTGGAAGAGTCAAAGCCAACTTCGGAAGAAAAGGGGCTCCTTCAGTCCCCCTGGCTTTTGTTTCAAGTCATGGCGTGTCATTGGTCAGACCCCAACCAAGCCCTTTCTGGGTGATCGCAGATCGGCAGATCTGTTGGAGGGTTTGGATATGTTTGGACTCCCACCAAAATGTCTTGCTTCCAGCATGGACCACCCCACAGTGCTCTCGGTTTTCCAGTCTCAATCGCAAGATTCTTTGCTGTACTATACCCTAAGAATCCCTGCACCCTCGATTCTCAGACAAAGTGTAAGGCTTTCTTCGAAATGGAAGCGCCCCGGGCGTTCTCTTTTTGAAAGGCGATCCACGGCAAAAGGACACCCAGGGCTCCTGGCATTGCTACTACGAGCAAAGACGCTACTGGGGGCTCCTGGCATCGCTACTAGGAGCAAGGACGCTACTAGGGGCTCCTGGC